ATGATGGTGGTGGTGGTGGTGGTGGTGGTGGTGGTGGTGGTGGTGGTGGTGAGGAGGAGGAGGAAGATTTGGGGTTTTTATCATTATCATTAAAAAAATATGCTTTTCGGTTGAAGCTAAAGAAGACGGTACCAGCAAGGTCGGCGAAAGGATTGCCCGAAGACTCCTCTTGACCGCCACCGCCAACCATGGAAGACATGGCGTTCATCATGGGTTCCTGGATGTCCTCAAAGATGTTCTGTAAATGACTGCTACCACCGGGCATAGATTCCATGTTGAGCACAGCGCGATCGTAGGAGCGCATCAGCTCTTGCATCATGGCTGGATTAGAAGCAATTTCCATGGACTGGCGCAAAACCTCCGGATTGTTAAGCATCCGATTAAGCTCGGGATTTCGCTGCACGAGAGGGGGGGATAGAAACAGACAAAAGTGTAAATTTATGCATGCGCCTAATGGAAGGATTAATCGAGAGGTGGTAGGAATAAATCGTAATTGGAGTTGCTGTACTAGTGTTCTTGGCCTATAGGCTTCCTTCGCTAAACCACAGTTTTCCTTGTCTTTTTTGTGTTTATTCCACAACCTTTTCACCCACAATTTAGTTTAAGTAAAACAACTACCTTACTATTACCTTATTTCCTACTGCGCACTTATCACATATTAACTGCTCAGTAATCAAGCACTAAACCTTTAACCACGTCGGACCACCGTCGGACACTTGGGCTAGGTGACTTTTGTCATTCGGCGGCCTATCGAAGAAGCGAACCCGGTAACCGCCAAGTCGCAAGAAGGCCCCGGAAGTGAAACATGACATTGTCATATTTTAATAACTGCTTAGGCAGATTTGTTTAATTTAGTTGACCCAATTGTGAAAAAACTCGCAGCCTCGGTGAGAGTCGAACCCACACGGCAGGGAAGGCTTTTGCGCAGCCAACGCTCCATCGATTTGAGCTACGAGGCTCACCGTGCGCCGTGAATTTAATAACACTTGGATCGATTTTTTCCCGCCCAACTTACCGCTTGTATGAAACCCACCATTACGGAACAGCAAACTGGAGGACCAGGCAGGATATCCTAAGCAGTTATTTAGAATCTACCAGAAAGACTATTAGGCTCAATTAATTGTTAGAGGTTTGGCGCTGCGAAAAAGCTTTTCCTGCTGTGTGGGTTTAACTCCCACGGAGGTCGCGAGTCTTTTCACAATTGGGTCAACTAACCTATTTTAGTAAGACAAGGCTAATGGGTGAGAAACTTTGCGGGTGTTAAGTGGGTGAGAAGAATGACAAAAACTGCAAAGCATTGAAGAAGCAGGAGAAGTGCATAAAGATTCAAAAAAGGGCGCAAGAAAACCCGCAAAGAGCGGATGGAGAGGAAGAGAGAGATAAAGCAACACCCACCTCCATGAGTTGCCTCATCTGTGGATTAGCCTGCATAATACTGCGCATAACTTCGGGATTACTCATGAGGGATTGAACAAGCGGACTCTCAACCATGGTTCTGAGCAGCTCCGGATTCTGGAGGACCTGACGCTGCATATTCTGCTGCATCGAGGAGAAAAGGTTGCCTCCTCCTGGACAAAGGAAGAAAAAAGGTGAAGAGGCCCGCTAGGGTTAGGCGGCTGCCTCTAAACGTGCACGGTAAAGACCGAATGAGAAAAAGCAAACAAATAATTTACAAGTGACGGGCCAAACGAAACTGGCGTGTCTACAAGGCACGGTGACTTCAAGGGAAAAAATTGGAAACCATCCCTATTTCAAAGCAGCCGAAGAGCTGCATGGCGAAAAATGTGCGTTTGTGTTCTACTTGTTCCTAGCTAACAAAGCAACGCGCATAACCGTAACGAGGTACAATGACACCTCATTCGCCGCGGTTTTGAACAAGTTGTTTGGTTAGACTGTACATTTTCGAGGGTCCAACCAATTTTTTGAGGAAACTAGGTAGTTTTACAGCACGTTAAAAGTTCGCTGTGACACCCATTTATAATTATGTAACGGCTACCACCTGTCGATGACTGTCAGTGTTACTGACTTGCTGCAGAATTAAATTTCGTATATTACGGGTTCTTGTGCATAAAAAATTATCCCTACGATATGCTATGAACGCTCGAATAGAGATACACAGTTTAACAGTGCCAACTCTATGTTGTGAGGCGGGCCGCACATCGACTATGCTGACAACATTACATTGCATGCTGTTAAACTACGCGGGTTCACAGAATGAAGTAGCTTGGGTGTATGTGTACTCAGAAGTTTGACGTAAAATCTCATTATCTGACTATAAATTTTAACGGGAAGGGGTTTATGGCCGCCAACCTTCGATAGTTGCAAATATTCCGGAATCACACTTAAACGCAAAGGAGGATATCGTCAAATGAATAGATGCTGGGCTCAGGCCTTCTGTCAGCCTGTCCATCGTCAGTCCCTGTAGCAAATAATGTAAGCAGGTGGTGTGCCGACCCAAATGCACCGTCATGATCAAGGCCTACAATCGTTCCACCCCTGCGTGAATTCTGGTCCGCAACAATCTCTCCCAACCGCTCGATATCCGGTCCGGTGTTAACACGGTTGCGTCCTGTCGCTTATTCTGTTTAACAACATCACTGACTGGATGCTCGTAAGGGCCCCACACGGCTCTGACGGTGTGGAGTTTGCACCCTCACGTCAGCTGACTGACTTTGACTACGCTGACGATATCGCTTTTCTAACCTCAAGTTTTGGTGACTTACAGTCTGTAGTGTCACGGGTGAATGAGATCGCCATTTCGGTCGGCTTATGCATAGGTGTTGGGAGGACCAAATTGTGCTCGCGCTGCATTACTAATCAGAATAAAGCCGCTAACTTGAAGAAGCAGACAGCTACAAATACCTCGCGACAAGACTGCTTCCGAATGAACAGACTGAGGAAGAAATTGTCTCCCGAATTGAAGCTGCCAGCCGCGTTTTTTTTTTCAATCCTTCCAAAGCGCCTATAGATTTGGCGTGACATTTCCATTGCCACAAAGATCCGTGTGTACCTTGCATCTGTCCGGTCAGTCGTCCTATCGATCTGAATGTTGGACTTTGTGCGTCGAAGATG